AATATGGGGGGTAGTCCTCCAAATCTTAGCAGAGATCTAAGAGGGCATGTCTGACATCCTGTTTTTTCCTACATTAGTCTGTAATTCTGCACGGAGCATAGCCTGCATAAACAGGACTCCATTTACATAAATGCATTAAAACATGGAGCAGACACCTCCCTGTCCCACTGAACTCTACATCTAACATGATTTTTCTAAGCCTGATTCCTAGCTATGGGTCAGTCTGGAGACCAAGTTGCCCGCTCACTACTTTAGTTGATCAAAGATGGGAAAGATGGTTCAGCTGTGCAAAGCAAGTTACCAAGTCAAACTTGTCTTTCTAAGGACAGCATTCTACAGCAAGCTCTGGATAGAAACCTAAGTGGACATTCCTAGCTCAAGCCACCTCTGGATATCTCTTTTTAACACACCCCTCATGATGTTCAATGACTTACCTGCTCATCTATTCCTGTCATAGAAGCAGGAGCTGGACTCCTCTGGTTATCGCTGTATGACCAGAACCTAGAACAGTACCTGGCACTCAGTAGGCACTCAATAAAGAGTTGTCTTCTGGCTGACACCAGCCTGGGAGAGGAGAAATGATGCAGGAAGAAGGTAAAGGTCATATCTATGGCAGCTGGCAAGGGAGCAGTATGGAAACGACATGGAACTATAAAGAGGCCCCTCATCAAGGCTGGCAGTGGCACATACTCCACCCTGACTGGGCATGGACATCTAGAGGGTCAAGTTCACAGCCCCTGTAGTAAGCTAGAAGTCCAGAGCTGGTGTTCCAGAAGCTTCATATCATAACTATACTGATGATGCTGCCATTCCCCATTTCCCAACACTTCTGATGCTGAATGATGTCACCATGCCAGGCCTCTCAGCACAGCAGAGAAGTAAGCCCATTCCAAACCAGGCCAGATTTGGTATTACCTAAGTCTTGATGCTCTGGGCAAATATCCCATTTTCAAAAGTCTGGCTGAGGCACAGTGAATTAATGGAAAAGGCACTCAGCAGAGAGACAAGAAATTTGGGTCCCCATTTCAGCTTTGTTACTAAATTTTTGTCCCTGTCACTCTGCTGTTTCAGGCTTTATTTCTGACATGTGGTTTCTCCAGAACTAAAAGGACACAGTCCCCTCAGGGTTCATCTCTAATAGTCACCTCTCTGATGTCCTCCCATGTCACTGTCCTCCGACTTCCAGCGCAAATCCCACCCTTCCTCCTCACTCCTCAGTGTGGCCTCAACACAAGGGAAAACCCTCTCTCTAATATTCATCAACTTGAAACCGTGGTTTGTATTTAAGTACTGAGTTTGAACATGGGTATGATTTATTCTTCCTATGTGGTATAGAAGCTTCTTAGGGAAAAGGACCAAGAATTTTATGTCCCCTCCCCCACCCCCACACATACCTAGCACAGTGCTGGGCACATCACAGGTGCTCGGGCAGGGCTTTCCAACCTTGCTAGCACGTGAGTATGCAAGTAAATTTAGGATTACTGCTATTACAGTGATGTTCTCCGAACCCCAGGTAACCAAATCAGCCAGGAGTTAGCTACAATCCAATCCATATCATCTTTCTAATTAAGGGATACCCTTAATTAGAAGTCCAACTGCAAGGTTGGCCAGGGTCGATTTACCTGATCACGGACAGTGCTACCTACAAGCTCTAAATATTCTGGGACAAGTAAATACAGTATCTGTTTGCACAGACTGAACACAATGGGCAGTTTCTTTCCTGGATGTGCACTCCAGAAATGGAGACACCTCTCTGTGGAGGTACAGTGAGACTCGCACAAAGTACAAAACTCTGCCAATTCAAACAATCTCTGTTACACAGCATACAGATGGCTTCTATATCCAAGCTGATTCAGCCTATAGAGGCCTCAAGGCAGAATCAGCCCTTAAGTCTTTTATTTCAGTATGAAAAAAAGGGTTTTTTTTTTAACTTCGGCCATGCTGTCTAGCTTGTGAGATCTTAGTTCCCAAACAGAGACCAGAGATCGAATTGTGCCCTGTGCAGTGGAAGTCCAGTGTTTTAACCACTGGACTACCAGGTAAGTCCCAAAAAGGATTTTAAAGTTGAGGGGAAAATCCATAATCAAGAGAACCTCATGTGAATGTCAAAATACTAGAGGTCTGCTTATTTTTTAAACCAAATCTACCATCTGTGTCTTAAAGGGTCCCTGGAGTTTAAGTCCATTTCAAACGGGACTGTAACAACCTACTTTCTCTCGCAAATGAGCCTTGAGAGCTCAGGAGACCTGGGTTTGATCTCTGGGTTAGGAAGATTCCCTGAAGGAGGACATGGCAACCCACTCCAGTATTCTTAGCTGGGAAATCCTATGGACAGAGGAGCCTGGCAGGCTACAGTCCACGGGGCTGCAAGAGTTGGGAGACTTAGCGACTAAACAATAACAAACAGGAGACCACAGCTCCTGGTATGTTTGTTGGGCAAGCAGCACCTTCCGTATAAGGTCATCTCTTTCCTTTGGTGGAAGGCCCAGCACTGTGAGGGGGTGGTGAGGAGGGAAGGAGCACGGCTGAGCCAGGCTGATCTGGTCAATCACCCTGGTTTCAATGGCATGACAAATGGACATCTGGCTTGCTCTGCCCCCCACTCTGGGGTGGAGGCTGCTGGCTACAGTTGCTCTCTCAGACCAAGAGTTCTACTGTCCTTCCTGGAAAGAACACTCTTTCAGTCCTATTTTATGTACAGAAAGAGTGATTATTTGAGGCATGAATACAGAAATTAATGGGACAGGCCTAGTGAAGGCTTAACAAAATGAAGGCTTTGTTCATCTAATGTTTAAAAGTTTAAGGCAGTTTCACTAAATTTTCACTTAAAGTGGTTTTTGTTCTGTTTTGGTCACTGCTCTTTTTCCCCTGGTAGTCCAAAACTGTCATGCTAAAACTCAACTCATAATTTACCCTTAGGTATACACCCCAAAATGTGAACAAAGATATCTGTACAAGGACGTTAACTGACATGTTATTTTTTAACACCAGGAAAATGGAAGAAAACCCATGCATTCCTCGGTAGCAAACGAATTAGAACAGTATGTGTCATGTTTCCACCGGGGAAAACACAGTAACTCTATAAGTGCATATAAAGTACCTATGACTGTACGCACACAGGAAAGGTCCATAAGGATATCCACTGACCTAAACAGTGGCTGTCTCCAGAGAATGGGGTGGGGGATACCTGAAGAGGAGGAAGGACTTTTAACACATACAATTTCCCCCTGTTAAATTTTATTTTTATGAATATATTTAGTTTTCTAATTGGTCCTCTGGTAACAGCACTGGATTAACCAGATATAACATATTATCACTGCTGATTCATGCATGGCCCACTTTTATTTAAGTTATTTGACCAGTTATTTTTTAATAATAAAGCACCCTCGAACACAAAATGAAAGTTAGATCCTTGACAATAACCTAGATCTAACCAAATGCTCCTCCCTACCATCGTATTGTTTTCCCATGCTCCAGGCCACCACCACCCCAAAGCCCATCTCCATTATTACTTGTGTACTTAATAAATCAAACATGACAAATAAATAAATGCACACAGTTAACTTGGTAGCCTTTTAAACTGACTGCTCTCCCATCAAAGAGAAATATCACAAATTTAACTCCATGGTTTTCTCTGCACATAAAGCAAAGCCATCTGCCATTTTTTCAGTGGTGCAGTCTTAGTCACCCTCGCTGCTATAGCAAGTCAAGGCACTCACTTCCCACCAGGAAACACCAAGAGCCAAGAAGGAAACATTTTTCAAAGGAGATCATTTCCATAGAAGCAGAGTAAATCAGTGGCTGATTCAAATCTGTCCTCACTACATGATTTAAATAAGTATCTAGTTGAGCAGTGCAGGGTTTTTCTCCAGGCAGGCGGTAAGCATTTAGTAATAGCAAGTGATAATCTCTTTAATACATAGTGTTTCTCAGCCTCTTACCAAGTGGAGGAAGCTTTAATTACTACATTTTAAGAGATAACACCAGATAGAAGAGTGCCAGAGGACAAAGAAAGCCTGAAATTAAGTCAATCTGTATAGCACATCTCAAATTATTTGAAAACCTTCCTTTTAGGCTGTTTCAATCAAGTTTTACTTCCTTTGGTTCTATGAATTCTGAGCCTCCATTTAAAATTAAATCCAACATTCTGCATTTGGGATATAACACTGCATTGTTACATATACTTTTCTAGTTTGAGATGAAACCATACTTATTGATAAGGAAATGCTTTTCCAAGTATGATAATTTTTAAACTAATAGCTTCTCCGATCACCTGTAATTTGTAAAAACCAGCGTCAACTCTCTGCAAGCAGGCACGACTTAGTCTAGTATTTTACAAAAAGAAAGTTCTCAAACTTAAATCATAAAAGTATGGCAATCTCAGATGCTTCCTCTGGGTTTCCTAATGTCTGCTTCTTTGAAATAAAAATTATTATTAATAGATTCTCAGCTACTAACATTTAATTAACACGGACAGGTAATACGAAATGGCTAAGAAGCAAAAATCATTTATATTTAGACCATATTTTTATATTTGAATAAGACAACATCTCATGTTCTTGATTTTATTACATGGAGATTGTCAAAAAGACAGAAAGGGTGCCCCAGCACTCCCTTTCTGCCTTCCCATTCAACTCACTACCCCTACCTCCCCATCCCCTACTCCCCTCACACACACACACACACACACACACACACACGCACCAGGAATGGATCCCACCATGGACAGAGGACACTTTTAGCAGACATTTGCAGTAGTCTATAGTTTCTAAGGTGAGAAGGAATGCGGTATTTTGACTTTCAGGTCGCTGAGCTGGAAGCCATAGCAGAGACGGTAAAGGGTACTAAAAGCCTTGTGTCTCCTACATTTAACTATATCAGTGGGAGACTGCAGCAAGGTACCTGCAAGCAATTAAAACCAAACCATGCTTAACACTGGAGTGTAACTTGGGAGCAGGTGGGAAGCAAGAGGGCTAGCATCCATTTTCAACGCCACTTACTCTTCTTTCCTGAGAAGCTCCTCTTCGGATTCCATCAGGCGTTGCCTCAGGGCTGCGATCATCTCCACGGCCACATCCACCTGTCTGTTCAGGGCCCGCTCTCGTCTCTGAACTTCCTGCTTCTTCTGCGTCAGTTGCACAAATGCCGCCCGAATTTCCAACAGTTCAGCAGTTTTCTGGGCCAGCTCTTTGGTGAGTTTATCAATCCTCTTCTCTATGGTCCTGTCCACAGCCTCGACCATCTGACTGAACTTTTCTCTGACATGTGCCTCGAAAGCTGCTTTGGTGTCTGAGGTGGGCAGGCCCGGACTGGCCCTCGGTGCATCCGGCGAGTCTGCACGTAGGTCTACTGTAGTGTAGGTCTGCACGTAGGACACGGGCCTCTCTGCCACCATCTCGAATGGCTTCCTGTCCTTGGAGTGTTCGTGCGAAATACTATACAAGTTAACATAGCTTGGTTTCTGCTTTACTATGTTGCCACAGCTCTGCAATTTTCCCTGTTTCGGGAGCTCGGAGGAAGTGACCAGGTCTGTGTCTTTGAGAGATGGAAAGAGGCTGCATTTTGTCAAGAGGGTTCTCTCCTGGTAGCTGTGACTAAATTCCAGATGGGCCCTCAACGAGGACAGGCTTCTAAATCTGGTATGGTCCCCACACCTCGGGCAACGGAAGGGCAGGCACACAGCGACATTCTCAAAGGACTCCTGCCAGGGGTATCTGCTTTCCTCAAAGGCTTTCTGTTGCATTACTCTAAAAGTCCTGGGCAGGGGAGAATAAAACAGATAGTTTGCATGTCTGTTTAAAAAAATGTTACTGAAATAATTGTTGCTGATCTCCATGGGGACAGAGGCTTTGAAATTCCAAATGACTTTACATATAATAAGTAATTAAAATTAAAACCTACAATCCATGGGCCAAATCCAAGAACATTCCACTCATTTCTATATTGTCTACTGCTGCTTTGCACTAAAGGATGGAGGTAAGTAGTTGAGACGAAGGCCCTATAGCAGGCTAATTCAAAATACTACTTGATCTTTACAGAAAAAGTTTGCCAACCCCTACGTAAGATGAAAAAAAAAATGGGTATCATTCCCTTTTCACAGATAAGGAAATTGGAGCAAGGAGGTAAAGCAATTAATCCAAAGCCAAATGGACAGTGTCAGATTCCCACATGGAATTCAACTTTCCTGCCCTCCAGAATTTAGTACAGTCACTGCAAAAACACACACTATTTTACTGAGGACCCTGATGAGCATGAAAACAAAAGAAAAAAAAAGAGAGAGAAACTCAAGTGAATTGTCAAAACAGGTCCTAAGACAGCAAACTCAGCAACCTTTCTCAAGTGAGGAAAGGTATCACTCAAACTAGGTGCAATGGCATTAAGCCCACAATCAGCTGAAAAATTTTCAGTCTGAGATTTCTGCCCTTAATTTTATTTTTAAATTATTGCTGTGATGATTTAAATCAAAATGTTATCATAATAATGATGCTCCCCTAATACTCCAGATTTACTGAAATCTGGAAGCCCAGTGTATCAAATACTAAGTGGGGCCACAGATAAGATTTTACTAAAACAGTGTTCTGGATGGATTTGTCTCCACTCTGATCCTGTTTTAACATGATGACCTCTAGGGTGGCCAAAGTTTGAACCATGTAGGTTACAGCATAACTCTTTTAGTTAAAGGGAAGTTCTGATTTCCTCATAGAAATTTATTTTCTTGGCCCTAGCAACAGATGGCTGCTAGCAGCCCAATTCTACAGGCAGTGCATACCTAGTCCCTCCAGGAATGGTTTCTTAAATGTAATAAGCACCTCCCCAAAGGGAGGGAGCCAAGGTCTTGGCTAAAAAGTACTATTATTGGGCCCTCAACCTCTTTGAAAGCAGAGGCGCCAGTGGTCCCCCCACAGTAGACACAGCTTCCGTGTTAATAAGCCTCTGCCCCCAGAGAAGGGAACCTCTGCTTGTGCTAGCAAGCTGTGTAACCACGCGTATTCTGGGGGCAGGAGGCCAGACGTGAAAGAAGGGGTACTAGAATGCCAGGGAGCAATGGGGAAGGAATGGCATCCCCGGATGGGGAAACCGGTGCTCAAGCACCCCGGGAGTGCGCAAGGTTTCAAGGGCCCAGCGGGGGCCCCAGTTCACAGGGTTGGCAGACAAGCCCTAATTTCCTCTGCCTTAAGCGCGGCAGGCTGGAACTGAGTGTGCCTTGGGGGTCCCGGCTCTCCCCTCCCCAGCTCCTGTGCGTGCCAGCCCGCCGGTGCCAGAGTGGATACGTGCGCACACGAGTGCCCGCAGGCGGGGGCCCAGATGCCCAGCTCTCCGCCGTGGTGCGAGACGGGACCTGCTGCCCAGCCCGGACGGCCCCCTCTGCCGCGCCCCCTGGGCCGGGCCGCGGGCGCAGATGCCCACTTACCCGACTTGTTGCTGCAGCTGCTGCTGCCGCCACGACGGTGCTACTGCTGCGGGAACGAAGCGGTTTTCAGCAGAGCCGTAAATCAGGCTGAGCGGGCCTGCTCTCACCCCCCGCGCACCCCCGCGCCGGGACCAAAGCGGCTTTCAGGGCGGAGCGTGGCGCGTGCCAGCGGGGGCGGCGTGCGCGGTTTCCGGGACCCCGCGCGCGGAGAGAGCTTTCGCCTCGGGGGTCCGGGACCGCCGTGTCCCGCGGGGGACACCCCAGCTCTTCCCGGCTGCCGAGAGCACCGTCTGCCCTCTCCCAGCCGCGGAGCGGGATGGGGCTCAGGATTCCACTGACATCACCGGGAGAAATGCCGGGATCTCTTCCCCCTCCGGGGGAGGAAGGGGAAAGCGTGCCAGCCTCTGGAGCGCTGCGCTTTCTGCAGGCCCTGGCAGGGTTTGTTTGGACTTTACAGTTACTGGGCAGCGGGAGAGTGTGCGTCAGGATGAAGCACGGCCGGGCTTCTTCTTTGAAAATCTGACAGCAGGAAGATGCGGGTGTATATGTTAGGACCTCTTCATTCAGCTGACATCCCAGAATAACTAGCCTAGACAGTCCACCTTGACCTTCCTGGCTGAGTGTGCTGGTGCTCAGTTAACTGGCAGAACTAAGTCTAGAAAAGTATACCGGTTGTGGATAAAGAAACGAGACCCCTACCATTCGCACTCCTGTCTCTGAGATGCACCCTCCCCCTGTCCCCCCAGCAGAAGTGAAGATTTCCCATCCTAAAGAGAGGTTTCTTTCCTTCTAAAGGACACAGATGACTCAGCTTTTTTTTTTTTTTTAAAAAAAAACCTCTTTGGGGCTATTCCTAGTCTGACTGTTGAAATGAAACCAGAATAAAAGTTACCATTGGGTTTTCTTGTCAAAAGAAGATTTTGTTCATCTGCAGTTACTCTGATGAATCTTAACTCCACAGGGTGTCTCTATTCTCAGAAGGTACTGTTACTCATTTCAACCTTGATTTTAACTGTAAATATCTCAGTAATTGTCTCAGATTTGGGGGAGGGGTGCAAATGAATTATCACATCCATGTAATTAAGAGTCCAAGCTCTGGAGTCAGGCTTGATTCAAACCCTAGTTCTAGAATTCAAATATGTTTTATAGTAAATACGCTGATTATATGGTCGATTTACCAGAAATCGACGTTAGAAGAACAGAACAGGGCCCCCGTGTTTGTATAAAGCTCCTGTGAAGGAAACACAGGTCAGATTACTGTTTGCTTCTCCATGTCTGCAACATACGTGTGTATGCAGAGTACCGGGGGTTGCAGAAGTAAGTGACCTGAGGAGCAGACAGTCCTTTGGAATCAGACAAATCATTTCACACATTGTCAAGTAATTAGGAAAATCCAGGGTGTTTATGAGTGAACTTGTTTCAGGCTGACTGAGGATTGATTTAAGTAGCATCTGCTGCTAGGTCTTCATCTCCCTAATGCAACTAACTGCATTCATGTTTTGTTTTTCCGCCAGTATAATGGTATACCTGCTATGTGCCAGCACCTGCGTCACTTGCATCAGTTAATCACTTGTATCATTTAAGCTTCAGAGTCAGAGCTGTAATCTGGCTTTAAAGCCTTCACCAGAATAATCTACTAGAACACTCTATTTCTGTTAAATTTCGTTGGCATGGCAACCACCAAGCAACACCATGGAAAGTGCCTTAAATCCCACAGCAGTCTGTTAGCCAGAGTGAGTGCCCAGAGCACAGGGTATTTGGAGGCTAAAAATAGGCCTCCAAATTTACAAAGAGGTTTCCCCTTCCCCACTAGGAGGAGTGCAACTTACTTGCTCCCTTTAGTGGAGTCAAGTCTTCCCTGGTGGCTCAGAAGTAAAGAATCCACCTGCAATACAGGAGACCTGAGTTTGATCCCTGTGTCCAGAAGATCCCCTGAAGGAGGAAATGACAATGCAGTATCCTTGTCTGGAGAATCCCATGGACAGAGGAACTTGGGCTACAGTCCATGGGGTCACAAAGAGTCAGACACAACTGAGCGACTAACACTTTGGTGGGATCAAAAATGAGCCAATTGAGAGAGTGTGCTAATTTTCCAGTTTACAGGTATCTTCACCCCAACACCTGGACTGGAAATGTGCAGACTCAAGGTCTGACACCAGTTTCACTCCCTCATTAGCTGTGTGAGATTCAGTCTAAGAGGGGCAACATCTCTGGGCTTTAGTGCCATTACTTATAAAAGGCAGGAGCTGGAATGGACCAAGGGCTTTCCAGCGCAACAATCTTAGTTGCTAGTTCAGTTAATGTGTTTGTCATTTCCTTACTAGTGTGGATGGGGTGTCTAGCAGAAAAGGCATGGCAGGCAGGTGTGGTGGTGATAAAGTTTGTCATTTGTCAACAGGGGATTTGGCAAAAGTGAGGTCATCTCTGGTAATAACAGCTGACATAAGGCGTGTTTACCACATGCTAAGGAGGGTTCTAAGTGCTTTTCACATAATATGCCATTTAACCTTCCTAACAGGGCCAAGAGAGAGAAATTACTGGTATCCCTATTTCATAAGTGATAGTTTGTATATGAGTGTGTGAGTGTGCAAGCACACATGCTTAGTCGCTGAGCCATGTCTGACTCTTGGCAATCTCACGGACCTCCTCTGTCCATGGAATTCTCCAGGCAAGAATACCAGAGTGGGTTGCCATTCCATTCTCTAGGGGATCTTCCCAGCCCAGGGATCAAACATGGGTCTCCTGCATTGCAAGTGGATTCTTTACCGTTTGAGCCATCAGAGAAGCCCCATAAATGAGTAAGTTGAGTCGTAAAAATAATAGAATTAATACATCATATTTACACAGGTAGTAAATTATTTGGGCTTCCCAGGTGGCGGTAGTGGAAAATTATTTAGCTGGAATTTGAACACAGGCTACCTAAATTCCAAACCTATGCTTAACCATTATTCCATTGTACCCCCAGTGCTCAGATCATTGCCTGACCCCCCACAAGGGTCCTCAAAAACTAATTGTTGAGTGTGCAGTGCATGACTGCTATGCCAGAAGATTCTCAGTGAGTATTATTCACAAAACTTCAAAGCCTGTTCCTTTCTTAGTAGTTTATAATATGAAAATAAACTTTTGAGACATCTCCCCTAAGAAAATGGGTGGGGGGTAGGTAGAAAACATATTGCTATGGAATAAAATATATAGAAAAAGATACAGTTAAAATATAAGTATTGTTAGATAATGAGTTTAGATTATGTGAAAAATGAATTATGCAACTGATGTTTTGTCAAAATAGGACCTGTTTTCTAGGACCTAGAATACATAGGCTGTTTTCTTCTGTTTTAATTGAAAGTTATATTTGTTTCTAGAAGCAAGAGGGGGAAAGTGGGCACTTATAAGTATAGGCAATGGAGAACTGAATTTAAGAATAACATATAGGCTATAGAAATAAATCTTCTGATTGGGAAGAAGGATTCCCCCCACCTGCCCCATCTCAGCCTTCCATGGCAGTACCGGAGTGATTTTCTAGGGTTAAGAGAGAGGTATTTTATCAGGCGGCTCATAGCTAAGATCATAAAGTGAGTTAAAAAGATAACTTCTTTGGAACATTGTTATTGTAAGGTGAAATTAGTGATGTACATCAGTCTCAACCTTCTAGTCTAATTCCTCTCTAAAAATGAGTTAGTGTATTTTGAACTTTTTATTGGAGACAAGTATACATATAATAATTTTTCATATCATAAATGTAAATCCTAATGAATTTCACAACTAGATACATTCCTGTGACCAGCATTTAGATCAGGAAACAGGGTGATTTCCTGCTTCTCAGAACACTCTTTGGTATTCCTATCAAACACCTGTGCCCTCCTTCATTCAGGTAACCATCATCCTGACTTGTATCGCAGAGGGGCTTAGGCTTGCCTCTGTGTGCTTCACGTAAATAAAATCCTATTGTATGGACCCTTTTTAATTTTAGTAGATATTGCTTAATAGTAGTCAAAAATGTACCAATTTACAAACCTTCTAACAATGTATAAGAGTTCCAAGTGCTACATACACATCTCCTTCAACTCTTGGCATTTTCTGACTTTAGCCATTCTGGTGAGTGTAGCAGTAATCTCAAACTGTGGTTTAATTTAGAAGTTTCTGATGGCTCATGCCTTTCAATACTGTTCATGGGGTTCTCAAGGCAAGAATACTGAAGAATGCCAAAGAAAGTTCAAACTACCGCACAATTGCACTCATCTCACACGCTAGCAAAGTAATACTCAAAATTCTCCAAGCCAGACTCTAACAGTATGTGAACTGTGAACTTCCAGATGTTCAAGCTGGATTTAGAAAAGGCAGAGAGGAACCAGAGATCAAATTGCCAACATCTGTTGGATCATTGAAAAAGCAAGAGAGTTTCAGAAAAACATATACTTCTGCTTTATTGACTATGCCAAAGCCTTTGACTGTGTGGATAACAGCAAACTGTGGAAAATTCTTAAAGAGAAGAAATACCAGACCACCTGACCTGCCTGTTGAGACATAAGTATGTAGGTCAAAAAGAAACAGAACTGGACATGGAACAACAGACTGGTTCCAAGTCGGGAAAGGAGTACATCAAGGCTGTATATTGTCACCGTGCTTATTTAACTTATATGCAGTGTACATCATGAGAAACGCTGAAGGAAGCACAAGCTGGAATCAAGATTGCCAGGAGAAATATCAATAGCCTCAGATATGCAGATGACACCACCCTTATGGCAGAAAGTGAAGAAGAACTAAAGAGCCTCTTGATGAAAGAGGAGAGTGAAAAAGTTGGCTTAAAGCTCAACATTCAGAAAACTAAGATCATGGCACCCGGTCACATCACTTCATGGCAAATAGATGGAGAAACAGTGGAAACAGTGACAGACTTTATTTTGGAGGGCTCCTAAATCACTGCAAATGGTGACTGCAGTTATGAACTTAAAAGACACTTGCTCCTTGGAAGAAAAGCTATGACCAACCTAGACAGCATATTAAAAAGCAGAGACATTACTTTGCCAACAAAGGTCCATCTAGTCAAAGCCTTGGTTTTTCCAGTGGTCATGTATGGATGTGAGAGTTGGACTATAAAGAAAGCTGAGTACCAAAGAATTGATGCTTTTGAACTGTAGTGTTGGCGAAGACTCTTGAGAGTCCCTTGGACTGCAAGGAGATCCAACCAGTCAATCCTAAAGGAAATCCGTCCTGAATATTCACTGGAAGAACTGATGCTGAAGCTGAAACTCCAATACTTTGGCCACCTGATGCGAAGAACTGACTCATTTGTAAAGACCCTGATGCTGGGAAAGTTTGAAGGCGGGAGGAAAAGGGGATG